TCTGGTTTGGTGGTTTAGTGCGGCTATTCCCATAATAATGCGGTATGTATTGGTGGATAGTTGGGTGGGGCATAATCTAGTCTGCCTAAGGAATTCGCAGATCAACGGTTGGACAGGAAACCGTAGTCCGGTTTCTATTATGGATTGAAGGGTAAAAGGGACGAAGCCTTCATTTTCCCAAGGAATAACATCTTTTTTGGCCAACGTCAGATGGACGTCATCAGGAATTTGGTAATCTTTCCTAAATTCGGCCATGCCACCAGGGGTCTCAACTAGATACCTATACTTACCCATCTGATGAATAATTTACTTATAATTTATATCGGTGCAAAAATCGTGCTCAGTAGCTCGGTCGAGCGCACGCAGGAGTGCCTGGGTAACCTAAGTCTGCAAAGTAAAAAACAGAAGGGGTTAAAGCACTGATCAAGGGACCGTGCTACAATTTAAAAGCAAGGTATAAGAGCCCTACTTCGGCCTCAAAAAACTGGTTCTATCTCGGTCCATCAAGAGGTTTGGTAGCTCGGTTTGAGCAGTTTGCTCGGTAGACCGGTTTAACGTCCAGGGGCAGCTTTCTTAGTTCGGTCAAAAAAAACTAAGAAAGCTGGTTTAGCCCCAAGGCCTAAATCGGTTGCAGTGTGAATAGTGTTACTTCGGTTAAGCCTCAAGGGGCGGCTTTCTGAGTTCGGTTTAGGAACCAAGAAAGCCAGCTTGGCCCCAAAAGCTTAGTTCGGTTGACAACCGAGGTTCCTAATTTGCTATATTCAAAACTAGGTGATCTTACTTCGGCTAAAGTGAGTCAGGCGTTGGTGACTCTTTGGGACTTTTATGTTCTAGTTCGGTTGTTGACTACAGTTATCTACTTATTTAGGGCAAACAGGATCCTAGTTCGGTTGCGGCCTAATTTAGGATCTAAGGCAAGGTTTTTACGGAAGTTCATGCACATATGAACTCTGCTATCATTTTTTCGTAAGAGTACAGAAGCAAAAACAAAAAATGCACAAGCATGCTTCACCAAGACAGAGAAAACGAAAAAGAAGAAAGCAAAAACAAGTTTTTTCAAAACTTACCAGAGGGAAACAAAGGCAAAGAAGGGAGAATGGTAGCAAAACCACAGCCTCTTCGAGTGCAACGGAAGAACAGCTTGAGCACACAGAGAGAAGACGAAGAATATGAAAAGTGTAAGTGAATGATTCGAGAGTAGAAAAGTTGTTTTGTGAAAAAGGACAGAGAAGAGGCGGCAAAAAGAGGCGGGACTGTTCAAAAAGTTCGAAGTACGAAGGCGGCGTGATGACAGCTCACGGCCTGTCAGAGCCCGCCACGTGGCAAGGGAAAGGGAAGCGTTACAGTCGTGATTGAAGAGACGTTTGGACCGGATAAAGTAAAGCCCGAAGTAAAGTTAGCTCGGCTGGAGAAGCTAAAGGGTTTTTAGCTCGGCTGGAAAGGCTTAAATAACTTCAGCTCGGCTGGAGGACTGGTAATCCCAATCATGCTGTGCAGATGGAATTAAGGGGCAATTGAGAGGGTAATTTTTGGTAAAAATTGGGCCGAGCTATGTGATGGACTTTGTGGCCCAAAATGCCAAGGACTGGGTAAAAAGGCCGAAATGTTACTCCGGCCCAAGAGAGATAAAAGTCATTCCGGCCCAAGCTGTTAAAGTTACTCCGGTTCAAGAACGATAGATTTACTCCGGCTCTGAGGAGATGTTGACTTACTTCGGTCAAAAGAGATGAAGTTACTTCGGCTAAGAAATTGTAAAGCTGCTTTGGTTTGGACAACTTGAGTTAGTCCGGTCTCAAAAAGGTAGTCCGGTCATGATGAATTCGGGGTAGGTCGGTCGGAATGTTGCTGCTCGGTAGATCGGTCCAGACACACCACGGTTCGTGTATGAGAGAACCGAGACATGGTGTAGCATGAAGAAGAACCGAACTACTGTTAGTATGGCCTACTTTGTGGCTCGGCATAGCCAGTTTTACTTCGGTCAAATGGAAGTTCGGCCATAGAGAAAACCATCCCACTTGGTTTAAGCTGTGGGGGAGGGTGTAAAAGGATAAGCATTATCCTTAGGAGTATGAATCCTAGGAGAACTCTGCATGGAGAAATACAAGTCCTACTAGGATTGTGCCACAGGAAACTTATAAAAGCTCACAAACATCACCTTGGAGGAGGTAATTGAACATAATTCTTTCTGAGAACTTAGAGCTTTGTCTATTCGTCAAGTTTCTGACTTAGGCATCGGAGAAGTTTCCGGCACACACCCGCCGGCTAGCTCACGTTTGTGTTTTCAGGTGACAGAGCGACGACGTACGGAGGAGCGTGGACTTGGTCAACAGGATTATACGAGGAGAATTATTTCCTTCCCGTACAACACTCCATTAGATAACTTTCATACACAGAATCACAGCCACGGGGTTTCTTGGGGCCATCAAGAACTGTCCAGCTCGAATCCTCTTCCTTCGGATTAAACACCCCCAAGTTACAATCTTGACCCAAACAGTAAAAGACCTCATTGTAGAAAACTGCATTACTATGAGATGGTTGAAAATTTAGATTGCTATTAACCTTAGCCCAAGTCCAAGATTCCTCACCACGAGAAATGGATGAAAACCAAGCTATATCATTAAAAAGGCCGAGTATGCCAAAAACGGTACAGTCTAAGGATGTAGGCACGTAAGAGAAGGATACAGTATCAAAATAGTAATATTCAGGTAAATCTGGAAGGTCAATTTTTGCATTGGTGAAGGGATTGAAGAAGAACATAGAGTATTTACCTCTAGACATAAGCAACCAACCATTATTGGAGAAGCAAAGTACTACACCGGATAACTCAGGAGGAATAGCCATTTGGTATGTGTCCCTGTATAACGGGCTGTAAAAATTCAAAGGCATTTGTATCCACGGAAAAACCGAGCCAATGAGATTCGGCGATTGGGCAATGAATTGGAGATGGCACTACTTGTTGGGAAGGAACTGATTGCCATGTTTTGCAGACATTGCAGAACCTTTTGATATCGTAAAGAAAGAGATGTGACAAGATCAAGCTCAAAAGCTCCCTTGGAAGATTAGTCCAATCTCTCATCATGGCATCCATTGTTGTATTCTCTAGCTCTGATAAATTATGCTGATCAGTTAAATTCTCATCCATTATGATGACCTGAAACCAAAGAAAGTAATAAAATAAAAGATAGCGTTTGGTAGAGTTTTCAAAATATAATTTGAGAATAGGAGTTGTATTTTGAGTTTGTAAGTTTTGAAATTATGATTTGAGTGTGAAAAATTTGTTTGGTGAATAAGTTTTGAAAAGGGTTTTGGATGGAGTAGGAAATTTTTGATGTGACATATGATATTTAATACAAAAACTTACAACTCATAACCAAACACACAACTCAAAATTCTATTCAAAACTCATACAAAATTTAAAAAATTCTGAAATTTTTTTATTTAAAATATAAAAAAATAACATGTGCCAATTGTAAATAAATAAATAAAAATTGCATTGTACCGGTCAACCGGCCGGTCAGCCAACCGAACATCCAGGAGGACGACTGGCCGGACATCCGGGAAGACGATCGGTTAGTCTAAATTTTCCTGCCTTTGGTAGAGTTTTCAAAAGTAAATGTGGAATTAATTTTTAAAAATATTAATCAAATATCACGCGCAAATTAAGAGGTAGAAATACATTTTCAAAACTCTTCCAAACAGAGCCAAAATATTTTACATTATAAAATGGTAACTTTCTGGTACCCTCTAATTCAATACAATATTTTTGGTTTAGATTTCAAGAGTGAATTTGACAAGCTTTTCATATCCCTCATCCAAACTGAGCCCAAGAATTATTCAGTATGTTTAGTTTGAGTTTTCTGGATTAAGGTTGCGTTTGGTAGAGTTTTGTAAATATGATTTGAGAATATGAGTTGTATTTTGAGATTGTAAGTTTTGGAATTATGATTTGAGTGTAGAAAATTTGTTTGGTGAATGAGTTTTGAAAAGAGTTTTTGAATTGAGTGATGTGACATAATTTTTATATAAAAACTTACAACTCAAAATCAAACACAACCCAAAATTCTATTCAAAACTCATAAAAAAATTTTAAAAAAAAATTAAAATATTTTTTATTTAACATATAAAAATAACAAGTGCCAAAAAAAAAAAAAATTCAAGAACACTGTTCCGATCAACCGACTAAACGTGCAGGGGGACGTTCGAGAGACATCCGGGTACACGATTTTTCAAACGTGGGTGTAAAAATATGTTTTAAAAACCATAAACAAATGTGAAGTTAGAATGTGTGAACAGAAAATTATTTCCAAAATCGTTCAAAAAAGAGCCTAAATTTTTTTGGCTTCAATCAATGCTTTGCTTGCCTTGCCTCTTATCAATGCAGGAAAAAGAGGAAGGACGACAGGCATGCTCCACTCAGTGAGAGAGAGAAAAGAAAAAAAGAAAAAGAAAAGAGAGAGAGAGAGAGAGGGCTGCCCCTGAATGCTTTTGAATGAGGAAGTGGGTCCCATTTTAGTGGTAGGTCTGAATTGAATGAATCTTGATGCTTTGCGTGTAGCTTAAGTGCCCTAAAGTCCACCGCTATCATTTTTCTCACCGACTTTTATTATAATGCTCATTGCATTTTTAGGCCTGGTTTGGATCATCAAAATAATTTAAAAAGTTAAAAAATTATTTAAAAAATTAAAAAATTATTATTATTTATCAAAAAAATATATAAAAAAATTAATTTTACACAAAATTATTACAAACTAAACTGACGTCCCACAGGCATGAGCTGACTTTTTGAGAAAAATTGCACAGGCGGGTTGCACAAATAACACGATGTTGTTCGGCCCGTGGGGGTTCATCATGGGTCTCGTTTCAATAATTTGAACCGTCAATATGTTCAACTCGTCGAATACTATATGTTTGAAAAAAATCATGTTGATCGGATATCGCTAACTATATGATCAAATCAATTTTGTATAAAAAAATGGATGGTGTTATAGTTAACAGTTGAAAAAAAATTAATCCGATCAAATAGCTATCGATATCCGATCAATGTGATTTTTTACAAGCATATAATACTTAACGAGTTCTACACATTGAACGATTCTGATTAGCAAACCGGGACCCGTGGTGGGCCAAACAACACCGTCCATTCAATGCCCGAAAAGGAGGGAATCATCTCTTAGCCTATACACTGCACGCTGTCCCTTACCTCATCCCACCGTACAACCTATTTTATTCCAATCTTCCCTATACACTAATTTATACAATTTTTTAATACACATTTTTTCGTAAAAAGTCAAAAAGTTATCCAAAACAACCATATTTTTTCCCTTAACTTTTTAGTCCAAAAAGTCAAAAAGTACACTTATTTAGGACACCCCAAACAACCCCTTATTGTGTACAATTGTACTGTTTGTAATTTTGGAGGGAAGGGTCGTGTTTGAATCTTGAATTTATTTAATATAAAAAATTATATATATATATATATTATTAGTAATAATTACAAATAAAATATTAAAAAATATAAAAAATAAAAATTATAATAATTATTAAAAGGGTTGAGGCGCGGAAAATTCGCTTTCTTTAAAGAGATTCAAACCATCTGCGGTTAGGCAAAGACTCACACTAGTGTAGCAGAAAAAATCTTAACTTGTCCCCCCCAAAATACAACAGCTCGATTAAGTCGTATGGTTCACCAATACTGCACAATTGGTTGAACCCAAAGCTTTATTACATACACCCTTTTTTATTTGCCTGATAATCTCACACAAGTCATAACAAAGCAACAAAAACTCCTTCACTCGTATATGTCAAGACAGGAGATAAGCTCAATATATATAGAAAGGAAACTTAATATGCAAGATTCTTGGTGGATAAGATAACAGGAGACTTGACCAAAACCTTGGAAGCTTATCTAGGAAGACTTGGAATGGATAAGTCTTGGGAAGACTAGGAGAAGACTTGAATGGATAAGTCTTGGCAAACCTTATCTTGGAAGATTTGGATGGATAAGAATGAGGAGACTAGGAAGACTTGAAAGGATAAGACATGAAGGAAACCAATAACACATTATAATATTAAAATACATGCTAACATTCCCCCACCTATTTTAATATTATAGGTAACAAAACTGAGATTATTAGGCAAATAAGGACATTATGCATCATGGTAGGTGTGCTCTGCATTGAACCTCCATTAGTGAAACAATAATATCTACTCCAGAGCCAATAGTATTGAGACACAATAATGAAGGTGAAGATAATTAATGGTATCGATTCACGGATTTTTCATCAAAGTGATAAAATTTAACAAATAAAAAAATGTTTAGGTAGCGTTATTTTTTGTTTATGTTTACAAAAATTTTATCAATTAGTTTTTGTTTATTTTTTAAAAAATATAAATTATAAACGCATTTAATTTGAACAAAACATTGGAAAAAAATTAAAATTATAAATTATAAATGCATTTGATTTGAACAAAATATTTAAAAAAATTTAAAAACATAAATTAAAAAATATATTTGTTCAAACTTAAAATATTTATCTTTATATTTTTTATTTATGACAATGAAATCACACACATTATAATTGAAAAAAAAATTAATTGAAAAAAAATAATTGCAAAAAAAATTTTGAAAATAAATTATTTTAAAAAAAATAATTGAAAAAAATTTAATTGAAAAAAAAATTTAATATGTAAAAACATTTGTTAAATTTATATTTAAAAAAAAAACTAATTGAAAAAAAAATTAAAAATGTAGGTCCATCTGTTGAATTTATATTTTTTTCTCAAATTTATAAATTGAGACAACTATTTATGAGTAAAAAAAATTATCAAATAAATTTTTATGACAATTTTTAAAATTTTTAAAAACGAAATGGTTTCCAAAACGTCAGTATTCCAGGTTTGTTTCCTCTTTTGATTGGGAATGGAAAAAAAAAAATTAGAAAAAGGAGAGAAGAAACGAGAAAGAAACCTTTCCTTCCAAAACAGGGTTAGACTTTCTTCTTCTAGTCCAAGAATTGTCTTCCATTAGGTCACTTAAGCCTAAGGGTGGTTTTTAGGGGTTGGGTCTGGTCTGTTCGTAGCTGTAATTCTCCATTTGACGTCGAAAATTGAAATGATAAACCCTAGAAATTAAAGCGTAGTCCACCATCGTCGACCATGAAGTTGAAGATGACAACAGTGGATAATCAGATAAATTCGTGGGTACATACCCTTCTAGATAAGGGAGCTGTGTAATCGGTTTGGGCTTTTGATGGACTGAGACAGAGTGCGAAGAGATTGAGTCCCGATTGAGTCCAATCCGGGACTGGATGACAGGACGAATCTGAGGCTTGGTTTGAACGAGTGCGAAGAGACGCCATTGAAGAGAGAAAGAGAGAGAGAGAAATCTGAGAAATCTGTCGAGAGAAAAATTACAGAGGACCATAAAATTCGAGAGCCTTCTGTCAGTTGTATTTTGGAATTGACAAACTTCAAAATTTAGGGTCGGTTTGGATTTGGGTGGATTTTTTTAATTTTTTTGGATTTTTTAGGTCTTGTTTAGTAATTTTTAATTTTAGTTAAAAAAATTATAAAGTGATTATAAATTGTCACATTATTTTTTGTATTTTTTTTGTATATATTTTTTTGTAAAAAATTAAAAAGTCACTAAAATAACATATTTTTAAATGAGGCCTTAGTTTTGGGCTAAAAATTCTTATTTGGCATTAGCTTATGACATTTTGTCATATTTAACTAAAATAACATATTTTGTTCTGTATAATTACTAGCGTATGCCCGTGGCTAAAGACACGATGTAAATAATATTAGAATTAGAATATAATTGTAATCCTAACACTATTTATTTTTTTTTTAATTTCATTAAATCACAAATTTATTATAAAAATTTGGAGTTTTTACAAAATTTTTTACGAAAACTCGCTTTTACTTATATAATATATAGCTAGATAGATAGATGTGTATAGATAATCTATTTGTAATGGTAGGATCTTAACAATATTCATCTCGTGGACAATTGTAATTAAGGCTATCCCTAGTGTATGCCCGTGCCTAAAGGTACGGTGTAAATATTGTTAAGATCAAAATACAGTTATAATTTATACATATTATGTTCAAATTTATGGAGTCTGTAAAATTTTTTAATCAAAATACTGAAAAAATATAAAAAAATATTATTCTTCTTATGGATTA